CCGCGCAAACTTTGCGAGGATCGCTCTTGCGCCGGAGGGGACAAAGTTTGCTTCTAGCGGATAGGGACTTCAGAGGCCGCTGCATTTGCTGCAAGTTTTGGGAAGCGGGATAGAAAAGACCGGCATCCGAGTGCGGAATGTAGAGGCTTGCGCAGGATGGCACAGCTTGTACTCTTGAATGCCCTGAGTGCCCTCTTCCCTTCCTTGGGCAGCTCCGAATGGATGGTCCGTGGGGGTGCAGTAGGAAAGCTGAGGAAAAGGGGGCCAGAAAGGAGGGCACTGGGGGAGCAGACGGGAATTTCAACGCATGTCCCAGCAGCTCACCCCACTGCCTGGGTAAGGGGAACGGGGGTTGAGTGTGAAAGAATGAACTGAGGCAGGGAAGGAGGGTGCCCGCACCACCTTGCATCTCTGGCACCTGAGGGGTTTCTCTGAGCCTACACCAGCTCCATGTCCAAAGTGGACCCAGGCATCCCCAAGTTCCGGCAGTGCCTCAGACCGGAAAAAAAAAAAAAAAAAAAAAAAAAAAAGCTCTTTCCTGGTGCCTGGCTTCTGTCTTGGCCTTGGTTAGTAGTCAGCTTTTCTGTAAGCTGGAATGAGCTCCCATCGAGCTCATGATATGGCTAAGAAGTAGACCAAGAATCACTCTGGGGAGCGAGGATTTAGCTGGTGGCAGGAATATCAAAAAGCCAGGCCTGACTCCCCCAGAAGGTCTCACCAGTTCTATGGCCATCATCAACCTCAGAAAATACGGTTGGTCCCTGGGCTCCTAATTCTCGAGGCTAGCTGCTCCCTGTTCCACCCCTTTGGGATTTGATCAGGCCTTGGGTCTCTGATCTTTTGAAGCCCTCTCCAAAGGTGATCAGCTGCCGGCCCTGCAGGGAACCAAGTGGCTCTGGCCATCCTGCTGAATGGTGTATTTATATCTAGGGGCCCTATGAGTTTCTGGGCACAGCATAAACCATCTATGCAAGCTCTATTTAGTTGATGGTGCCTGAGATTCTAGGACTACTGTCTGCCCTTGCAGAGCCCTGTGACTCTGCTGGAGGCTTCCTCTTTGCGGAAGGCACCCTTTATGGCAGAAGCAAGGATGACTACAGAGAATCTCATTTGGTCAGAGGAGCTTTGGCCAGGTAGCTGGATGTCTGGTGTAGGTGCTGGCCAGAGACTGGACTGGACAGTAGGGCCTGGGTAAGGACAGAATAGGCCAGTAGGGTCCTGACTCGCCCCTGCATGGAGCAGGCAGGGTATAGGGCATGAGTCTGAATCCTCTGGGATAGTGAAGTCCAATGTGCCTGATTTCTAGACCCAGGGAAAGCGTAACTAGAGAGAACAACACCCCGGGCTTGGAACCTCATACTAGAAGGCAAATCAGAATGTTGCATTAAGGACCCAAGGAAAGCCCTGGAAACCCCTTCCCCAGAGATGAGAGACCCTGGGGAACTCAGGCTTAGTACTCTACCTGAGTACAGAGTCTATTGAGTGGATAAATGGATGTCCTGGGGGCAACATTCCAACCCCAGCCCTACCAGGTGTCTGGGAAAAGAAACAGGGAGCATTCATTCTAGGTATACCGCTTGCTGAAGTCCCCAGAGTGCCACACAGAGGCAGCAGACTGGTCTTCATTCTCCTTCCCAACTGTCCAGGCCTGTGCTTACTATAGTCCCCAAGGCCTGGGCTTCAGGAATGAGGTGACAAAAAGACCAGTCACCTAGGAACACTAGTCTATGCTGGATTCCTGTCCCTGAAACTCCACCATCCTGTACAGAGCCCCTCCCTTGCCAGCACCTCATAATCGAAAGGAAAAGTTGTTTGTAAACAATAAATAATGAAAGTAGCTGATTGTTTCCCCAAAGCCTCAGTAAAGCCTGAAAACTGAAAGAGGCCAGGAAAAGGGAGTTGGGGGAGGGGAAGAAGCAGGAAGAATGAGAAGCTGAGATTCATTTCTACTCGAGAAGCCCCGGTGGCTAGTTTCTTATTATTTACAGGAAGGTGGTATTAGCAATTCAGGTGAGAAAGAAATAAACACAGCTTGCCATGAAATCAATACAGAATTCAAAAACAATTATTAATGTCATTCGACTCATGTTCTTTATATATGTGTATCTCTCCCGGCTACCAACGCTAAACTGTCTGAATAATTTGCATGGGGCTACTATTCATTATTTCCGATGGTTTCTCCCTTTGCAAGCAGTTCGGACGTGGCCTGCTGCGGTCCAGCGCGATCGGAGAACTCGTATTTTCATCTGTAAATTAAAGCAATTACGCAGCAGATATTATATGATGTGTACTGCGGTCTCCAGATAGTCATCCATCACCTTCAACCAAGCTGTCAGGGCCGGCAGATTTCGTTTCTGGGAGGCAGCCTTGCAGCTGGGGAGAGGGCGCGAACGTCATCATTAATTAGAGGGTGGCCCTGGGGCGATTCACAGGTCTGAACCCAGGAATCTTTCGGAGCAAGTCTGCACAGCTCCGTGATGAGCGGCTCTGCTCCGGGCGGAGGAGAGAGGCTGGCCTGGTGGGCCAAAAGAAGTAGGGGCGAGCTTGGCCCCGGAAGATCCGCATGAAAGGCTGCCTGAGAATTTCGGGTGGCCTGATTCCCCAAGCTCCCTGCACGTCTTGCTCATCTCGGCTTTGACAATATTGCAGGGCCCAGATTAGTTCAGGAAGTCTTCAGAGAACACCGAGCCTCTCTCCGAGAGTTCTTTACTGTCTAGGCAGGAAGCTGTGTGAAGCAGACCTTAGGGTGCCAGGGATAGATGCCCAACGCCCCCTTCCCTCTACTCAGCCCAGCTGCTCGCTAGGATCAGCGAGCCTACGGGAAGAGCCCGGGGGCCTAGTTGGGAAATGTGCTCTTCCCAGCGAGCAGCGGCGTCTGGCAGTCTCTGTCTTAGCCTTGGGATGAGGAAGGAGGCCACGGAAGGCGACCAGAAGAGGGAGGGGAGAGGAAATGAAGCGAAGCCAGGCTGAGCAATGGGCTGACCTGGAGTGGAGAAGGGGGAGGGGCCGCCTCCAGGGACAGCCAGCTGCCCAGAATGGTACAGTCAACCTGTGCTAAACCCGGGAAGCCTCACAGTACCTGGCCCCACCGATCCTGGAAGTGCTCCAGGGACACACACACACACACACACACACACACACACACACACACACCCTGAGTTCAAGTCGCCATCAAAATACGGGCTCTTCTGGCAGCGGCTCGTTCTGAAACTCTGCTTGCTGCAGAGTTGGAAATGAACTGGTGAGAGGTGTTGCTGAGATTCTCCTAAACCTACGTGGTGAAGAAGTGTGTGAAGCGCCTAGGCAAGCTGCCTTCGTCTAGGCGTGAGGGCCATGCGGGGGTCTCAGGGCCTGCGTCCTTCCACCCTGCGCACTATGCGTGGGCAATGGACGGCTGTAGCCTGCGCCCGACTAATTTAACTGTTGATTACATCTTCACTGAAGACTCACTCGTGTGTCCCTTCATAGGTCTCATTTGTAATTGAGACTAATGATTACAGTGGGGTGTGAAGGAGCAGCTGCTCGTTAATTAATTTCTAATTAAAAGTGCCTTCCGTCCTCCGTGAGTAAGGAGAAACACCGTTCGTCGGGGGCGATATTGACTCCTTGGATGGAGTTCATTTGTTAAAGCTCCATGGCCCTCCGCCCTGCTGGCGCAGACATTCACTGTCCCCGCCCCGCCAGGCCAGCAGCTGAAAGACCCGCAGGTCTGCGGCCAGGCCAAGCTGCGGCGTCGGCTGACGTCAGCGCTTCTGCCGCTTAAAGCGGCGCACAACTGACTTGACAGTACGCGATACTCAGTTTTATATTTTGTCTTCCTTCCTTCCTTCCTTCCTTCCTTCCTTCCTTCCTTCCTTCCTTCCTTTCGTTTTGCAAAATATGTATTTCTGTCCCCACGGTGGGTCCAGTCGGTCCCAGATCCCTCTGGAGGGTTCAGACTTCGAAGCTAAACTGATCGCTGCGACTAAGGCCACTCACTTTCTAACTTGGTTAGGAAAGTTTGAGCAGCGTGTGGGTGAACTGACCACCTCTCGCTTCGCCTTCCCAGAGCCTAGAAGCCTGAAGGCCCCCCGGAGCAGTAGCTACACCGCGCACAGGACCCCAACGGCCCTTCCAACCTTCGTAGGCGGTGCCCGCCATGTCCTACCCGCAGTTTGGATACCCTTACTCCTCTGCTCCCCAGGTAAAGGGACTCCTGGAAGATTCTGACAGTGGGAGTGGGAGAGGGAAGAGCCACCACTGGTTGTCATTTCCCAAATAGCAGGGTCCTTACCTGGTGGCCCATTATACTAAACAAACACGTTCGGGGT